TGTTTAGTCATGTCGGCCAGATGACCACAGAGATGGCTTTGGACAGCGCTGGCTCTTCAGCTTTGAAATGGAGATGAGCACCACCCCCCTAGAGTCAGGAACGACTAATACATATGTGCGAAGGGAACTTTTACCTTTACCCAATCTTCAAGCCTGGGTATAAACAGCTCGCCTGAATTCACAAACCCAATTGACTGGTTTATGCATGAATGCACCTGAATCTGATTCGGTGTGGCCCTGGAGTCTGCAGAGATCTATTGGTTGGCCTTCCGGAGTCTTTTCATGTTCACCCTGTTTAATACCTAAGCCTCCACCTCTTTGTAGTCCATGAGAGTTAGCTGGATGAATGAGAAGCATTGATCTGTTGATCTGAAAAATAGTACACTGAATGGCACAAGTGATCATTTAAGCAGCCATATGAGTAATCATTCAGAAAAATGACAACAACGTAATCCCCCGCTGATGTCTACCTAGGTGATCATGTCTTCACACCGCACATTGTCTGACGTCTCAAGGAAATGTTTGTTCCAAATTTTTGAAAGCTCCAGTATATGCCTGCTACAATTCTTTGCAAGCTGCAGTTTGGGAAGGGAAATTATTTATTTAGTGGCCCGCAAGTGCTGAAATTGACATCTAGAATTAGAGGTGGATAACAAAAGGCTCTTTTCTTGAAGTTCAGTGCCCGGCATTCTTAGCCGTACTGGCAGTGAGTGGTTTAGCAATCTTTGGAGAGTCCTAGGTTATAGCCCACTCCTCTCTAGGCAGAAGGAAGCACTGGCCACATGGAATGGTATTCTAAGCCCGTGATGGCGAACCTATACCACGCATGCTACAGGTGGCACCCAAAGCCTTCTCTGTGGGCATGCAAGCCATCGCATGTGCGTGCGCTTCTTACCACTCAGCTGATTTTTGGGTCTGCTGTGCGCGCATGCATGGTGGCAGAGGGAGTACGGGGGTGGTGCAGTGCCCCCCCCACACTCCGTTTTTGGCACCAGGAGGCTTCAGGAGCCGGGAGAGGCTGTTTTTGACCTTCCGGAGGCTCAAGGAAAACCTCCAGAGGCCTTCCTCGAGTCTCTGTGAGCACAAAAATGGCCTTCCCCAGGCTCTGGAGGCCCTCCCTGAAGCCTCCTCGTGCCAAAAACGGACTGTGTTTCCGGCCTCCGGAGTTCAGAAATGGGCGTGTTTCCGGCCTCCAGAGCCTGGAGGAGGCCGTTTCTGGTCCCCCAGAGGCTTGAGGAAAGCCTCCGGTTCCTGGGGATGGCAAATCCCCCCCGCATGACGTGGGGGACACAGGTGTAAGTGGGAGGGCTGTATTGCATTGTGGTGCACGCACACATGTGCTATTGCACACACACACACACAAAATTTCAGCACGCGGGGACAGAAAGGTTTGCCATCACTGTCCTAAGCCAATCCTCCTATCTATATACCATGACTATATCAAGTACTGACACAGCCACCAGGCTTCGTATTAACTCAAGGAGATCTGGAATGTTACAAAAGCACAAAATTAAGTGGTATATATCCTGCGTCAAAAACATCTGAAATCAATTATGCAATGTAGAAGGCTGTTTACATCAATGTTGTGCAACTGGGGAATAGTTTGTTCCAGCTGTAATGTTTGCAATTTGGGAACATTTGGAAATTTCGCCTGGAAAAGGAACGATAGCAAGGAAAGCTGAACCATTGTCAAGAAAGAACAAGAGTCGCAGACATGAGAACTGTCTCTTCCAAAGAAAGACAAGTGGTATTTTTTTTCATGGGCATTTTCTGGCCCTGAACCTCAGATGAACGCTGCCCTTGAGTTCAAAACTACAGTATCAATCTAAAGGGAGAAACTAAAAACAAGCCAAATCAGGTATCAGCCTTCAAGCCTCTACACGATCGATTTGAAACGGAAGGACTCAGCCCAGTTGCTAGATACTAGAGAAACTGCCAAGATAATTTTACTGTTGCTAAGATGTTTCCACTGTTGGCACAATTCCCGTTTCTTCCACAGCCAAACTTGCATTCCTTGCCTTCCATCGCCAAACAATGGTATTTACTTCTGCAAGATCAGTTTCTAAAATATACTAACTGCTTATAATTCACATTACAACCTTCATTTTATTTACAATTCCATGGACCTCAGTAGTCTGTTCTGGGATGATTTTGGAGAAAAGAATTAAACGCAATATCAAATAAATAAATAAAAAACAGAATTGTTTATTTGAAAAAAAAAAAGAGGGGGGTATTGGGTAGCATATATAAAAACAGGTAAATTATTTTCAGGTCCTGACCTCTTGCAAATTTAAGAAATTCGCAAATATGAAACTGTAATAAACACTCCCCACCAGCTGAAAAAGATAAGCTTTGTTGGATGCACTTGACAATGACTCTCAACTTGTGTTTAAGAATTGTAATTAGTGTGAGATAAACATCAACAGCAGATCTGGGGACATAACATTAGAAAGTGTGTGCCTTTCATGCACACCATGTTGCCAGTTGTGGAAATAGGATGTTAACTGAATTTTTCTGGTCTGATCTGGCTCTATGAAATAGTGTTTCCATGTACTCCACATACTGTATTTTTCAGGGTATAAGACACACAGTTTTCCCTCAAAAAAGAGGCTGAAAATCTGGGTGCGTCTTATACTCTGAATACAGCATTTTTGGCCTCCCAAAACCCCGCCCTCTTTGCAAAAATAGCCGTGCATAGCCTTTAGGAGGTTTCCAGAGTGCTCCTGGGGGCTGGGGAGGGCAAAAATGAGTGAAAAATGGGCTATTTTTGCCCCCCAGGAGCACTCTATAAGCCTTGTAAAGGCTATGCATGCCCTTTTTTTGACAAAAATGGGCCATTTTTCACAAAAAACAGGATGTTTTTTGTTCATTTTTGGGGGGCCCAGCCCCCAGGAGCACTCTACAATCCTCCTAAAGGCTATGACAAAAAAAAGGCCTGTTTTTGTGAAAAAACAGGCCATTTTGGGGAGGTCTGCAGAGTACAAAAACTTTTTTTTAATTTGCCTCTGAAAATCTTGGAGCGTCTTATGCTCCAGTGCATCTTATACTCCGAAAAATATGGTACTTACAATCTGCAGATTAGTTCTCAATTTACAATCACAATAGAACCCAGAATATCGAATGAAAGTTGTTTCAAGACACCATGTGACCAGATGAGATTACATGACCATTTTCATTATGGCCCTTAAGTGAGTTACAAAGTGGTTAAGTGAACCACGTTGTTATTAAGTGAATCCAGCATATCCAATAGGCTGATTTTTGCTGGAAACCAGAAAAATAGTCAAATTGTAGTCATGTGGCTATAAAGAAGCTGCAAGCTGTTGCAAATGCAAGCTGGTTACCGAGATCCCAAAATGCAATCACGTATCTGGGGAGACAATAGCTGTAACTTCAAGGAAGGGTTGTAAGTAGCTTTTTTGAAATCTGGGGTAACTTTAAAATGGTCTTTTACGTTATTGATCAATTTGCAAGAGTTAGGAGCCGAGGTGGCGCAGTGGTTAAATGCAGCACTGCAGGCTACTTCAGCTGACTGCAGTTCAGCAGTTCGGCTGTTCAAATCCCACTAGGCTCAAGGTTGACTCAACCTTCCATCCTTCCGAGGTGGGTAAAATGAGGACCCAGATTGTTGTTGGGGGCAATATGCTGACTCTGTAAACCGCTTAGAGAGAGCTGAAAGCCCNCCCAGCTGATTGGGAGGGAATGGGGATTTTGCAGTAACCTTCCTCTGCCACGCCCACTAAGCCACACCACGTTCACCAAGCCACGCCCACAGAACCAGTAGTAAAAATGTTTAAATCTCACCACTGATCCAGATACATACTAGAGGAAGATGAGAAACAGAGGCAGAGTACAGTATTTTCAAACTAGCAGCAGTTCCTTGCAACAGGCATGTCATTTAATCTATACTTTGAAATCAAGATCAATTATCTTTATAGCAATTCCCAGTCTACCAAGGATGTAAAAAACAAGGCAAAGTTAGCCCAGCAAATTCCACTTTTAACAATTACACTCTGGGCTCTAATAATTGTATTGCATTGTTTAATGATCTGCCCCAGACTCCTTTCAAGAATTGATGCTAAACTGCTTAGTGTAGTTCTCTGGATCTTTATTACTTTCTGAAATTGGGGGCAGCACTAAGCTCTCCATTAGCCATCTAGCAATTCACCAGTTCTCAAGGATTTATTAAAGGTAATGAACTGTTTCAGCCAGACAATCAGCAAATTGTTTTCAATATCATAGAATGCAATACCATCCAAAGCTAGAGATGCATATTCAGCTTGTAGCAAATAGATTTTTCTGAACATATCTATCACTCTCAACCTTCCACTTGGCTTCATTTTGTTCTTCCCAACTACCTCGTGCAACGATGGCGAACCTTTTTTGGCTCACGTGCCATAAGCGGGGGGAGCGCAGGGGGGTCGTGCGTGGGTGTGCCGCACCCATAATGTAATGCGTGACGTCAATGCACATGCACACGTAACAGGCTCCCCCCATTTTTTGCATGCTTTTTTCGCCCTCACCAAGCTCCAAGGCTTTATAGGAGCCTGGGGAGGGTGAAAACAGCCTCCCCCGCCCCGCCAGAGGCCCTCCGGAGGCTTCAGGAGCTTCCCTGAAGCCTCCAGAGTGCAAAAAAATGACCCAACAGGCAAACCGGAAGTTCGGGAACGGACTTCCGGTTTGCTCATAGGGCTGGTTTAAGTTCTCCGGAGCCTTCAGGTACCTTCTGGAGGCTTCCCTGAAGGCTCCGGAGGACAAAAAATGACCCTACGAGGAAACCGGAAGTCACTTGCGTGCTGGCCAGCTGACAGGGCAACGCCTCGCGTGCCCTGACAAATGGCTCCACGTGCCACCTGGACCTAGTGGAACAGATATCCACATACCAGAAAAAGTTGAGCTGAAACAGATACTGATCATCCTCGACTTGCCACATTTTGGCTACTGTTCAAAGTTATAACGCTGGAAAAAAAGTAAATTACAAGCGATCCTTGTGCTTATGATCACTTCAGCATTACCATAGTCATGTCAGCAAAATTTGGGTGCTTGGCAACCGGTATTCACAACTACATCGCAGGTCACTTCCCAGCTGGCCTCTAGCAAGCAAAGTCCACGGGGAAACCAGATTCACTTAATGACTATGTGATTCACTTAAGAACTACAGTGATTTGCATGGCAAAAATGTTGTAAATTTGGGCGTGACTCACTTCATCACCTCGCTGAGCAAGAGGAATTCTGGTCCCAGCTGTGCTCTTAAGTTGAGGACTAACCTATCTGAGGTAATTCTGCCTTTACTCCATTACCAAGGAGAATCTTGCCATCTTTATTGTGCAGTTAAGTATAGCAATTTTTTCTGAAGAAACTTTAGTTCATTGTAATCTGTAGCCCTTTTGACGCCTTTTTTATTTACATCTCTAGGTTTTCTCTGTGTACTTGTTTAATTTGATAAATAAAGTACAAGTCTTTCACAACAAATAATCATGGTGGTAATGGATAAAGACCTTGACAAAATGACACCAAGTGACAGACTCTTACAAAAAGCCTTTGTGACAGAAACTCATTTTACAATTTTGCTGAGGCCTGGTGTTAAAAAAAAAAAACCTGGCAGTGCAGCATTTTGCGCACAAAGTGATAATCAACAGTTTTATAACAATCATCCACACAACCTGTCAACCATACTCCAATTTTAGTATGCCTAGTTTATTCTGTTCAACATGGAGACGCATCTATTTTATTATGTAATAAATAAAACATCATAAAGGGAAGACACCTTCACTCCCAAAACCTAAATAAAAGACGAAGGAAGGAAATGTTGGAATATAGGTAATGTTCACATTAGCCTAATACAGATAGTCCTTGACTTTTGACCGGTTGCCGAATAACCAAAATTTAAACTAACCATGAAAATGGGACGTACGACCTGGATTTCAGGTTTTTGTCTGTTTGCCTTGTGGTCCTGTGACTGTAATTTATGTTTTTGCTGGAAATGCTTCCTAAAGAATAGATTTGCTTAATAATTATGAAGCTCGTTTAATGCAAAAAAAAGATTAAGTGCAGTTGCTTGCTTTATGACCATCATAATGTACAATCAAAATTGTGGTCTCACCTATATGACAAAGACTACTCATATTCCTTTTTCTGCTTTGATAAGATGAATTTTGGACATTACTAAGTCATTACTTCATATATAAATCCATTGGTTATGGCAGGGCTGGCCAACTCCCAGCCCATGGGCTGGATGTATCACATGCTGGCCACGCCCATGCCCGGTTTAGCGAAGGGGAAAAAAAATGTCATGTGATGCCGCCGTGACGTGTGTTTGAAACCCCTGGGTTAATAGGTTTTCTCACTGTTTATTACATACTGAAAGCCAAAATAATATTTCAAAATTAAGAAAATCCTATATGAACATCAACTCCCAACATCTGCCGTATGCTACCACCACATGATATTACCATACCTCGGCCAGTAGAGGGCGGCAGATTATTAGAGGAAACTTATTCCTCTAACACCCTCCGCCCCCCCCCCCAAAGCATGAGCTTCATGCTTTGTTCCTGTTCGAATGGTCATTTAATTGATAACAACAAACAGGGGGGCTAACATTTCAAAAGCTAAAAAAGCACGTACTGTACACAATCAGTATTGCTTTCCTAAGGTAAGAAAATAATCTAAAGGATGCCTTTTAAACAGATATGAAAATCAGCATGAATAAAAATCAATAGACCAATGTTGAATGTTGACCGGAAGGTTACCATTAGATTTTCTTGCTTAATATTTGCCAATTATCTAACAGCTTAAAACGCAGTTGCAGTCAGATAACAAAGTCCCTGAGTCCCCCAGCACAAACCTGGACTTTCAGCCTTTGGTCGGATCTCCCTTCTGCTGTATTTGATTGTATTATCTATCACAAGGATCACATCACCAAACAGCAAGAAACCAATTATATTAAAGGTCAGCCCTCCTCCCCCCTTTGCTGGAATAAGACCCAGTAGTGTGCAAAGTAAAATGAATAATTACATTATTTAGTTAAAAAAAAAATCCTTGACTTCAGTTCTTAAGAGAATTCTTAATGCCATCATAATGACAAAAAAAACCCAAAAACCAACAACAACAACCCCAAATGTGGTTATACGAGATAAGAGTAACAATGCATTCACTGTTCTTTATGTTAATGCCTGCAAAGTTGCTTGAGCTAGTAACCTCAAAATAAATGTCAGGGAATCCTTAAGCCAATCCTAGTTGTGTGTGGGCACATTTTAATATACATACGAATATCACACAATGCAGGTAGCCCTGTGCTTACAACCATTTTCTTAACGATGGTTCAAATTAACAGCCTCGGAAAGAATGTGTTATAATTTTGTAAAGTACCTCCAAATGTTGCACATGGGCTCCCGGCCGCAGCGGGAGTGATCTGGGTGCTCGGCAACCTGTTTACATCTAGGATTGTTGCCGAACTCCCTGCGGGCCACTGGGAGATCACCATTTGCAATCTTCTCTGGTGGCATCCCTAGAAAGCCAACGGCAAAATTGGCAGGGAAGGTTGCAAGCTGCTTACTGCCAGCTGGGGGGAGTCTCCCATGCCTTCCCTCTACTTAATGTCCTGTGAGACTGCTTAACAACCACAACTGGCAATGCTGGGATTGAGGTCATTGAGCAGTCATGTAGCTGTGGATGTCTCATTTAAGAGACACTACACTCAATGACCGAGATTCCAGTCCTAATTGTGGTTTTAAGGACCACCCGTTTCAGAAAGCAACATTTTTCACATCCTCTGATAAAATTCCTTCAGCCAATACACCAGACTGTTAAATCTAATTATGCGTACTTCCCACATATTTAAAGGACAGAAGTGGAATGTGGGAAACAAGCAAGACTTCATGTGCTTTTTAGCAATATGGGATTCATAATTGTGGCAGCGTCTAAATGATCTTGAGCATTCCTGGCTAGCACAGGAATGGGTAACTATCAAGGATATAGACTGGGAAGGATGAAAAATCTCAGAAGGAAATAATGACAAACCATTTCTATATTATTGCCAAGATGATTGGATGCATATATAAATGTTGTTAATAGGAATCAGGTACACCTCAGAAACATTTTTACCTTATTAATCATGTGACACATGCTTACACTAAGTATCTACAAAAAAAGTAAAATAGGCATTACGAAGTCACGTGGCACACAGTTGGTTCTGATTTGGTTTGGATGCAGAAAAACAGGCAAAGTATTTCATATCGTTTCCTGGATCTATTTGTCCGTTCTTCAAATGCACAAATGACTGTTACATTGCACTCTTAAAATAACAGATGGTATCAATTTAGGATTGTTTTATTTGTAAAACATGTTGCATAGATCACAGTAGGGTCGATCCTATAGAAAGAAATCTTGGACGTTAGAAGGCAACTGGTTATTAGAATTAGAAGAGTTAGGTAGGATAGAAAGAAAGTGTTTTTTAACAAAGGATGACATGATTAAAAGTTAGAAGAAGAGATAGAAATAAGAGAAAAGGGGAATATTAGTGTATACACTTTTATATAATAAAATAAGAGCAATAAATAAAGAGAAAACATGGAATAATTGAATGAGAAATTGCAACTTTATATAAATATCTATTACTATTAGAGATATATACATTGGTTGAAAGTAATAATTATGACTAATGCTATTCGTTTTAGTTGTATTAGAAAAGTATGACACCCAGATGCCATATTGTTCACACATTGAAGTTTGTAAAAATATATATAAATAAATAAAAACTTTAAAAAAAAAAAGAAATCTTGGAAGTCTCAAACCTCCAACCTGCTTCCCATTTTGGTGTAGCATCTTTGTAGTTAGTGCTGCCACCAGCCATCTTCAAGGGAATGGCACCCTTCCTTTAAGTAATTTCTGTTATTCTTCACTACAGAATAGTGTTCAGCAAATAAATATAAACAACTAATTCTATTCTATTCTATTCATTTGTTTATAATAAAAATGTTTGAATTGTTTAGAACAATCACAGGAAAATACTAGAGAATATTTTAGCTCCAAACTAACTTTTTAAATTGAAATATGCATATTAAACATGAAATTTAGTCATATGTCAATTACATTTTCTAAAAAAAACTACTTTAAATTTACAGTAATTCAGGAAGACAACAATTCCATCAATATGATTCCAGAGTTCTCACACATAAAGCAAGAACCAATTGACATAGGTAAGTGAATCATTGAAGGTATGAAGGTGTATGTAACAATTTTATAAAAGAAAATATTTTAAAAATTCTTCTTTGTTTACCTCTGTGTCTGTTCTTTTGCTAAAATCTTGGAATAGTCAAAATTAACTTCAAACAACAATGGAAATTTAATTGTAGATTAGAGACACATATCTTAATTGACAATATAGGAGCTTCATAAATTTAAAGCTTTGGGTATGGATAAGCTTTTTAAGACATAGTAGTGACGGGTATATATTGCACAAAAAACCATTGTTGAGATTATTATTTAAACTATTCAGAGCGTTCACAGATTCCTCTAAATTTCAATACCAATATTTCAAGATGTTATTCTTTGTGGCAACTGCAGTTATGATAAGAGATAATTTGAACACTGCCTATATCTGACACCTTTATCTTCATTTTAAACACTCTTGTTTGGTATAAACTTCACCCAGATAAAGCATGGCTTACTTAGAATTATAAGCAGAGAATTAGGTGCTAATTCATTAGAAGCAGTATGGTTTTTCATTAACTGTGCTTAATGTCTCTTTGATTTTTAAAGCTGTGGTCTGGAGAAAGATGAAAGAACACGAAAGACTGTAGTTTCTCCTGGAGAATAGCAATATTTCCCTGTCCTTGATTTTATTGGCCACATTTAGTGATTGGCAAATCAATGCAATCTAGAAAAATCTGTTAGTTTTAAATTCCATTGGATCCTGTCATAACATTCCATTCTCCCAATCCGTCCCCTTGTTTCTGGCTAGTGTTTTATGTTTTGCTCGATCTGCACATGAGGAATTCCTCTAGTGAGGAATCTCCTCTAAAGGCCACTGAGAAAGGGGTTTATCTTAGAGCTGGGCTGTCAAACTCCCGGCCCATTGGCCGGATGCATCACGCACTGACCATGTCCACGCCTGGTTTAGCGAAGGGAGGGGGAAAGTCCTGATAAGTTATGTGACGCGTATTCAAACTCATTGTGATGTGAATTTGACACCCCCGTCTTAAGAGGGAAGGAAATGGAAAAAGGATCTTATTTCCAGAGCTTCGTGTCATAGTTTGCATGGTCTTTTCATCACAATGGTTTTACACACCAACATTCACCTAGGCCAGCGTTGTCGAACCTTTTCCATCTCTCCAGGCAAGCGAGCCATCGCCCGTTGGCTCTTCCATGTTCTGGCGCACCGGCCACTTCACATGCATGGGACCACTGGAAACCGGAAGAGCCGCGGCCCGGTGTGCATGCACGCGATGGGTATTTGCTTTTCCAGTTTCTGGCATGCGCATTCACATCGACCACCGGTCGCACCGGTGTCTGGTGCGTATGGGGGCGCAAAGACCAGCTGGCAGGTGTGCATGTGCACACCGGAAACTGGAAGACTGGCTGGCCGGGAAGATTACCTTCTGGTTTCCGGTGTTCCCGCGAGCATGAAGACCAACTGGCCAATGCGCCGGAACCCAAAAGAACAACAGGCGATGGTTTGCGTGCCCCAAGAGATGGCTCTGGGTGCCACTTCTGGCATGGGCGCCATAGCTTCGCCACCTTGGACTTAGAGAGTATTTCAGTAGCACTGCTTATTAGAAATCCTTAAGTGAATGATTGTCCTTTAGCTTAGTTCTCCATGTGTACAAAATGAGAGTCACAATTACTTATCACGGAGGATTGATTAGATTTATTTATTTTTAGCTAACGAAGCTCTTTGGTGCAACAGAGATTGTATCACTGAATGCATTAAGCTTAACCATTTTCCATTCTTGCACATTTCTCTCTTCCTTCCTTCCTTTCTTCATGGAAAAAAAAACTGTAGAAGCTTCCGATTCCAAAGTTTATATGGAACAAGTCACAAGACACATTAATCAGCTTTACAAGTGCTGAATAAAAGCAAATGATGGTTAATCTAAAGCAAACGCTTCTGAATTTGGGAAGCATGGAAGAAAAGGGGACAGTCTGTGAATTTTCATGTCTCCATAAACCAAGCAATTATCGTTGCAGAAAAATCATAACCTCAGCACTTATGAACAGAACAAGCATCTAGCTCTCAAAATAATTCATATTAAGTACGATAAAAAAGCTCTATAGAGAGTAGGTAGATTTGCCTCCATAGATGGAATACAGAGTAGAGCATCCGTGAAAGATCAAAGACATCATCAGATCACATGAATGGAATGAAATATTCTGATACAGGATACCACGAACAGTAAAGTATCATGTTAAATGTCGCCATTGAATCTCTTTCTGTGAAATGGCGGTATTATCCGTGGAATATAAAATTTATCTGAAAACGACGAATGGCATAAAATTCAATTTAACACATTCACTTGGCTTGAAAAGAGCTTAAGAAGCATTTCAGAAAAAAGGAAACAAGAAAGTGGAAAAATTACAGAAATACCAAGAGTTTCAGGCCAAGCCTATTGTATCTTCCCTGTCACAGCAATGCTGTGGTTTCCACCCATGGATCTCAAAAGTTACCTTACATGAATAGTTTTTAATTCTTCAATTCTTCTTTTGTCCTGTTTGACAAGCTTTCTGGCCACAGTTGTTAAATGAACAACTTAAATTAGGGGTTGTTAAGTTAGCTGTGTAGTTTTTAAGTGAATCTGGCTTCCCCATTGACTTTGCTCATCCGATTCACATGACTTCCCGCGACACGGCACTCGTCATAAATATGAGTCACTTCCCAAGCATTTGAATTTTGATCACGTGACCATGGGGATGCTGCAATGGCTGTTAAGTGTGAAAAATGGTCATAAGTCACTTTTTTTCAGTGATGTTGTAACTTTTGAGTGGTTACTAAATGAATTGTTAAATTGAGGACTACCTGTATAATCGTGTTGCTGATTCGCAGTCAGATTCTGGCATAAAAGCCTATGTCGCAGCATTGCTGATATCAAAAGAACTGCAACCAAAGCAGGGTGAAAGCACTTGAGAACTCTATCTCAAATTTCATCATGGAAAAAGGATAGAGCAATGTAGCAAAAATGTTAATACACATTACACAAGAATGAGAAATGCCTATTCCTCTACTGACGCGAGTCCACTGCGCCCTTTGGAATATTTAAGTTGCATCATTCGCAAGGGATGAACTCCCCACTTTGAAACCAATGCACCCCCCCCCCAGCTGCATGCATGGGGCTAAAGGAGATCAGGGGGAGATCACATCAGAACTTCAGTCTGACTTTTTTTACTTTCTACTGTTTCCTTTAAAAAAAATTAAATAAAATGTCTAGAAGTAAAATGCTGACCATGAGGGGTTGGCAAAGCACTTTCTACCTATAGCAAATTGCTAGTTTTAAACTACATTAATCTTCAAGCAACGGACACGGTGGCTCAGGGGCTAAGACACTGAGCTTGTCAATCAGAAAGGTCGGCAGTTCAGCGGTTCGAATCCCTAGCGCCGCATAACGGAATGAGCTCCCGTTACTTGTCCCAGCTTCTGCCAACCTAGCAGTATGAAAGCACCTAAAAATGCAAGTAGAAAAATAGGAAGCACTTTTGGTTGGAAGGGAACAAAGTTCCGTGCACCTTTGGTGTTTAGTCATGTCGGCCAGATGACCACAGAGATGGCTTTGGACAGCGCTGGCTCTTCAGCTTTGAAATGGAGATGAGCACCGCCCCCTAGAGTCAGGAATGACTAATACATATGTG